ATTGACACCTACTTAGTGACAATAGCTACTCCCAGAACAAAATATTCACTGGATCTACTGTCATGTTGATTATCTGGTAAATCTTTTCTACTGTTTCTTGAATCGTACTCCATAGTTTCACTCTTTTTTTTTTTAATCAAAGGATAGATGAAAAGATTTTTGCCATTTTTTTCTTAATAAAAAAAGTGTTTGACTCAATCTACACAACATCCAATTTCACATTATGCTTGAATATTCTGATTCTCTCATCCACATTTTAAGCAAGGTCTCCTTGCCTGTTCATTACACTCACAGAGATCTGCACTCTGCCAAGTTAGAAGCAGCATCAGTTGTTTGTCAAAACTCTCCATGCAGCATGGTCTTTCACAGCCTCTGGCACAGCTTTATAATTACAGTTAAATTTGTAGTATAAGGAGAGTAAGAAAAACTCTTATTCTTTCTAAGGTTATCAGAAATATTTTTAAACAGATTTCTTCCTTCTTTGTTCAGTCTGTTCTGTACCAAACTCAAGTTTACCTGCTATGCTGCAATAAACCATTGGTCTTTTCATTTGGGAGAAAAGAATGAAAATCAAATATGCTCAGACTCCTAGTTTTAAAAATATCTGCCAAGTTCTCAATGGATTCAACCTTCTTATTATATATAGCAGAGTCTGCATCCTATTTGTACATTAGTAGAGCTTTCAACGTATACAAAAAGCATCAGGATAGACTATAACACTGAACATTTCTGGCTCTCCATGAGATGGATGACTAGACAAAAGCAGGACAAGTTTCTCTTACTGCAGCTCCTCCTTTGTCTTTCTGTCATAGCTTCTGTGTGAAATACTCGGGTTTTAGTTCACAGACAGTGCAGCCAAACTGGTAAAATTCTCAGTGAGGACATTACCCTGTTTCAAAACTGGATGATATCAGCTTGTTCTTATTATATAACAATATGTTTAGAGCCTTGGAAAGTCTATCTTACTAGCTGTCCATATGCAAACTAGAACTATTTTAACTAAAATGAATCTAACATCACAACTTTGATTGAAAAGGTTCATTCTAACATTTACAGAGAAGTCCAATATGTGCCTGCCCAGTTCCTGAGATGCCATTCCCATCAGCAGGAAGAAGTCCCATTAGGTAACTTTTTTCTTTGCTTCTACAAGGGAGGCCGATTCTTCCAATCAGTACTTACCCCAGTAATGATAGTAGTTTTGTCAAAATATATCTCTGAGAACTGGACTAAAATCAACAATGGATTTTATTCCAGTCCCTGAAAAGCATTCTACATAGCCTAGTAAGAGAACTTTCATCATCCTTTACTAGTCTTGTAAACCACTTATGCTTGATTCCATAAATTTCCTGATGGGAGGAGCTGGCTCTGTCCATGCATTTAATAAATTAATGCATTAGAGGACACCCTTTTGTCTTCAAAGAAAAGTAAACATACACTCAATAAGACTACAATGTATGATTAACTACAAACAGACTAACAACCATTCCACAGACAAGATAATTGCAAAAAATAGTTGAAAACAGTCTGGTTTTAGTCTAGTGTAGTTTATTATGGTTATGTTGATTTTCTAGTATGCTTTTATATTCACATGCATCTGTCAACAAGAATCTTCTTTATTTACCTAGTGTGTCTCTTGCAATATGAAAGCAGTGAAACTGCTTGGTGTTAGAAGGATGTTGTAAAATTTCAAGATATTACACCCCTTGGAGAAATAGCAGAAAGCTACAGAATCACAAAAGATTTTGTTATTCAGAAAAGGGCAATCAGACACCAAGTAAAAAGCTATCTCAAGTTACCTCATCATGACTACAGAATTTACTGAAGCAGAATTTATAGCAGCCTCCTGAAAGCAAGAGCTACAAGTCTTTGCCATCTGTGTCCTGCAGTTCTAGTCTCTTCATTTAGATCCCATGTACAATATAAATATGAAATATGAAATTTAAATGTTATTTCTCTTATTTTAAACCTCTAATGCTTCTCAGGGAACATGTATAATACAAACACACAATCCTGTTACACTTTTTTGCACGCTGAAGTAAAAATTCATGAAAACAGATACACAATTTATGCTTCTCTCTAGAATGAAAGAGAATTTTACCATAAAACAAAATAATTGCTAAAACAATTAAAAGAAATTCTTAATGTCATGCAGTGAAATTTACTACTGTGTAACCTTCTGACTAAAATTACCTCATACCATCCAAATTCCAGAGAATTATTACAGCGAGGTCTGAGGCACAGAGAAGGTGTAGATCCCGTGTCTAGCAGAGGTCCATTTCTTCATTATATTAATACATTTATTCCAATATTCATATTTTTGCAAAACACAGTTTGTTTCCCCATCTGCAAAACTCTACAGAGACAAAAGAGATTTCATCTCAATGTCATTTCTAAGTGCACAATGTGGCTATAACTTCAGAAAGTGCCTGAAGTGTTTTAAGCCTCATTGTACAATGTTTTACAGCAATACTTACAGAGAATTGATGTGCTGAAAATGTGTTCCATGCCTGAGAAGCCTCTTGTAACTCATAAGACCATTTTAAACTGCCTGCAGTCACTGGTGTGTTTTCATAAAGTGTATCACATCCATTCTTTAACTTAAACAAACAGAAATATTTATGGTGATAGTCCCAGTTTTACCATTGTACAAGCAGCACATAAAATCCCAAATCCACTCTCAGTGACTAAAGAGGTATCAGCTTCAGATTCACAATCTCTGTCTCTAGGCAAATACCCAAGGGCTTCCTGGGTGACAGAGGAGTCTCAGGTGCTTCATAGAGGTGCTTTCATTTGCCCCTCTGTGAAACATCCATCTGTTTAGGAAGAACGAGGCTTATGCTGGCTGAAGGCAAGTCCAGTTATTGTTAAAGAATTCCACTGGCTTTTCTGACAGGCAACACTTCTGAAGCCTGGAGAACTGCAGGGTGTTCTTTTGGCAAAACTTCAGCAATAAACATGGATGACACTAAGCAGTGGGCTGCAAACACAAATGAAGACTGTTTTATAGTCATGACTCTCATGAAGAGGAGAGATTTATCAGATCTCATGTAGTTTGTCACCATGCAGATTTGGACCCTTATTTTAAGAGCATTGTGAAATCTAATTTCTGCTGTAAATGCCAAGACAACCAATTGCTCTTTCTTTATATTTTTCTTAAAGAAGACAAATTTCTTCACACTTTGTGCAGAAATTTTACTCCTCTTCCACATAATCCCTACAGAAATCAGAGAAATCAGGAGGAAAAAAAAATCAATGAGAAGGATACTTAGAACAGATTATAAAAATGAAAAAGCATCCTCTGAGAACTTTATGAGCACGTTTCCATATTTGTCATGCATGTCAAAGTATACCTTTAACTGCTTATATAAGGATGTGCAGATCTGAGCTTTTAGAGACAGGAAATAGAACCAAAATGTCACTGGCTACATCAGCTTTCTTGTACATCTATGCAATCTCTACTGTAATTATTTTCCACTGGAATTCTAAAGAACTGGATATGGCCTGTTAAATTTTTGTCTAAAGTTTAAGTGGTTTGCTTTCACTGAATTTCATCAGAAGGTAATTTGGTTGTGAAGAAAAAAAAAAAGAATTCTAAGCATCTGCATGCTCATTTTAAACTGGAAGTTTAACATAATTTGAATTTCAATGAAATAAGATGAGAAAGTGTTCAGATTTCAAGTATTTTTAAATTTCTCATGAACGTTTCAGCAGCCTCCAGAACTTGTGTTTCGGTTCACAAGAGCATCTGCTTTTTAAAAATCTGCCAGTTTCCTGCTACTATTGCTATACTGTCAAGTTCCTTTTTATAGTATCTCCTTCTTCAAATCCTAGTGCAGGGAGAAGAGATCTTTCATAATCCTGAATGTCTCATTTCCACACAGGCAATAGATATCATTACAAACTTGATCTGTAAAGAGAGAATTTAAAAATATTTTCCTTCCAAAGTCTGCATTTTTGCCAGAAGGATTGGCAAAATATAAATACTCTGAATGGTACAGTAAATCTCAGGATGAACTAAATCATTAAATTCCAATGAAATCTGCTTGTAATCAAGCTAGAAATACTTTGAAAAACTGCTTGTCTCATGGTTTTTCAATAATTCTAATTTTGGTTTTGTTTCAAAGCCAGAAGTGCCAAACCTGACAATACATGAAAATGAGCAGTGTTCCAAAAGCCATGGTAGCATTTTGAGAAGATCAGCAAAAATCCCCTGCAGGTTTATTTTGACTTCTGTTCAGCTTTCTCCTAAGTCATTTAACTAATTTCAGTATGTGTGGAAATATATTTCCTTACTTTCTAATTACTTTAGAAACAGAGTTATTACTTTAGAAACAGAGAACATACTAAATTTCATCTCTTATACCTTAGTAATTGCAGGCTTGAAAATTAAGACACTGTTCTAAGCACCTTAATGTTTCTTTCAAGGAGAAAAATTTTTAATTTCTATCACCAAGGTGTGAAAATCAACAGAAAAAAAATGTTGTTCTTTCTGTTATTGTACAATAGGTACACAAGTATGTGTACTACTAAAAACACAGCACAGAAGAAAACAAAGAAGTCCTTGGGACTAAGCTCCTATGAAAATATAGCATGTGTCTAATGGTAAGAGAGAAATCAGTAGGTAATACCCAGAAAACAGGCAAAGAAAATTACTATGTTTCTGAAACTGCATATAAAATTGTAAAGAATGTATAAAATAATGGAAGATGCCTAAATAAGTACTTAAAACTTATGTCAAACTGCAATAGAAATAAAATATTTCTCTCTAGGCAAAAAAATTGATAATGAATGATACCAATTATTAAGCTATATTAGATTAATGACTTTAATAAATAATATATTTTAGGTAAATTAATAATTTTAAAAATAATGATTAAAATTAATAAAAGAAGGGAGATTTTCACTACTTACTGTCTGTGATTTTTAAACATCTCCTTGTAGCAGGTAATTTCCTCATCAAATATCGTCAGAGCAGAAAACTTGGGATAAAGTTAGAACTGGTGGCAAACTTTTCCAGTAGATTACTAAATATCTACAAATTTGCAGAAAATTTATTGAACAATAAATAAAGAATGGCAATTTTATTCTAAAACATTTTATTCTAAACCCTGCATTTTTTCCAGAAGTTATTCTGTTAAAATAGCAGAATAATCTGCTAATTAGTTGCTTCTGTTGTTGGTTTTGGCTTGGAAATAAACTAGGAATTGCATTAAGAAATGTACATAGAATCCTGGTTTACAGTTACCTTTATTGCCTCTGCATATGCAAGATTACCATTTTGTGTGAATAGTAATGGCATTGAGGAAGAGATTATTAAGAACTGCATGATGGCAACTAACTAGTTTAATAAAGCTATGAAAAATCAAATATAGAAAAACAAAAATAATGGAAAAATCTAGGTAGCTTCAGAATGAATAGAAACAAAATTATCACAAAAGAAGATTTACCTTTATATATGTATAAAAATGGATATGGAAATGTTATATTTCTATAATTAATTATTAGAATAAAATTTATCTTTGTTCTATTTGAAAGTGGTTCTGAAAGACAGTTAAGAATGGTGGCTGGAACAGCGATGTGAAAGACCCATATCTTCTGCTACTGGAAATCAGACCAGACAACCAACCCAAAAATACTTTTTAAGAAGGTATGAAGTACTTGGGGGAGGATGGCAAAACCCTCTAACTTGCATTTAACCATTTCCAAAGCACAGGACACTGAAATAGCAATCATTAAATATTAGAAAGCACTCTGAAGTATAATTGTAAGACAGTACTGCAGCCTTGCAAGCTGCATTAGCCAGGAATGGATGCTTCTTTAGATATTATCCTCTGTACCTCTTAAGCCATAACAATGGGTTAAAAAGCCAATACACAGTGGTACAAAGCTCCAAGGAAACCATTCTAGCAGAATACAGGAAAACAGCTGTCCTAAAGCACAGGACAGACATCTGTCATAGTTTCTCCACATACCCAAATAATTTCAGAGGTCCTGATGGACTGAGAGAAGAAAAATTCTTTTTCTTCTGATCTGGTGGTACCTTTCAGTTAACAACACTTGGAAAAATATGTGATAGGAGGTATTCCTAGAAATTCTTAACTGTTGTGAACTGTCGTGAATTCTTAACTGTTAAATCTGTCTCAGTTTGTTCATATCCAAAATAAGTCTTCTAACTACCACAGACTCATGGAATGGCCTGGGTTGGAAGGGGCCTTATGGATCATCTAGTTCCAAGCCCTTGCCATGGGCAGGGACACCTTATGTAAATGTAGTTATAATTATTCCCATGATACTGTGGGAAATGGCACTGAAGCTACCACTTCTTCAGCTGTCTACTCTGCAAAAGGCAAATTGCAGATGTCTTGTGGACAAATTCAAGAGATACAACCAAAAAGTTCATAGTGTGATTTTATATAATTTTTCCCAATGACACATTTGCTGTATTTGAATATGTACTACCAGCAGCAGTCTCAGTTTCTGGCAGTTTGTGGTTAAATATCCCATAAAAGCTAACTCACTTCTATTCTGAACTCACTACACTCATGCTGACAGCCCAAATTACAGTGTTTTATTATATTGCATCTTTACTGTGTATTTTATTTATCTCTGTTGTACCTTCTAGTACTTGGCATCTATTCAAAACCTTTACCTGTGTTCTCCTGCTGTTCTGGGTTTTTTTGTAGTTTCTTTTACTTTGTATTCAGAGCATTATCTTTTACTTTCACGTGCAACTTCATTAGTTTAGAAAGCTTATGCAATCTCTCAATGACATCAAATTGTTCATCTGAATTGCTACACAGCTGCAACGATAGCCTGTGTATTAAATCACCAATTATGACCAACTGTAAAATCCTGCTCATAAATATGCTCTTTAAGGCATAAAGCCACTTTAATTTAGCAGTTAAATTTTTAAATAAAATGTCACAGTAAACATGTATGTTACCTATAAGCAATTCATAATTCAACTGGTTTGCATGCTGTCCATTTACTGTTTGTTAGAACTTCATGTCTTGATTTTTTATGTCTCTTCACTGGTTCTGATAATAAAGCATCCATAAAAATTGGAACTTTTCATGGGGCATCTAAATTTAATCCCTGCTGAAACAGCTACATCGACTTGTTTCTGAATTTCTTTGAAAGATGATTTTTTCCTAGATCTAAAAAAGCTTTAAAATGACTTCATTTGGCAATACAATCTATTGTGTAGCTCTACAGAGTAAAGTACAGTCTTCTAATTTGTTTTTAATTAACTTTGGTTTTCCTCTGGAGTCTGAAATTGTGGCCCAGTCTTACAATAGGCATAAAATAACATGCTTCTATTCAACAGTTGCATGGATATGAACAGTCAGTGAACTTTGTTTGGTGACATTTAACTTTATCATTCTTCATATCCATTGCAAAATCTTGTCTTTTTTTAATGTTTCCAAGATATTTTTATCAACAACTCTCTATTTATTGGTTTGTTTCTCTGGAAGACCATTTCTAAGTAGTAGCTTTTGAGGAGAGAGGTTTTCTCCATTTTTCTTTGGCAGACATTTTATAAGGGTCATAAGCATCTTGTAAAACTAAAAGGAATGTAGGTAATGGCCCTCTATTACTTCTGAAACTTTCTAACACAGGTTTGAAATCTTAGTGAATTAGAGAGAACTCAAATCTACAACATTTATGTCAGGGAAAGTCCTATGTTTTACTGTAATACTTTTTATGGGACTAGTGAGTTATTTTGCTGAACATATCTGCTTAATAAAAAAAATCCATGCTGTGAAGAGTTAACTTCTCCCTGCACCAACTACTTTCATCAGCATCACCCTTCTTCAGCAGAGAGACTACATGCTTCCCATGTTCCTCAGCCAGTCATATCCTATCAACTGTCTGCTTTCTTCCTCTGCCATAGTACAGTGTCCACTTTTTCCCATGTTTTCTGTTTTTCTCGCACAGTTCTTCCTTTGTTCTGTCTCTTCTCCATTACACATGATATGTTTGTATGATAATACAAACTCCTTCTCCTAACTCTTGATTTTATTTTTGTATGTTGTACTTGTTGGGATGCATTTGTACAGCACTGAAAGTAAACCCAAGTTGTTCCTCACAGCAATTATACCTGATGGCTTTCTTTCCGTTTTCCCTCAGCTTCTCAAGAAATTGTGTTTGCTGAAGCCCTGCAAATTCTCCTTTAGTCCTGCATAACTCAGTGTTTTCAACCATCTCTTTTCCACCCTTCTTCTCTTTTCCATCATGTTTTTCATTTTGCTAGATATTTGGCTCATTTACTCATATATTATCTACTCTGATACTTTATATTTACCACCACTATTTTGATTGCTATTTTCATTGAAATTCACTGAGTTTACATGAGATCAAAGTACAGAACTCCCACTGATTTTAGTAACTCCCATTGACTTAAATGTGAGTTCTGTGGCTAACTTCCTACCAACTCAGAAAATACAGGGTCTAGTGAGAATAATCTGAGTTTAGAATCACTTATTTAGAAAAATAATCTTTTAAAAGCTTTTTCTGGTTCCATGGTCTTGCATTATTATGACTTTTAATAGCTGAGGGACCATTTTCACAGAAATTAGAGTATTTGAGGTCTGCATGTCCAAATTCAGAACAAATTAGGAAAGATTAGTTATTTTCCCCTGAGTTTTGTCCCTGAATTTTGCCCTTGCTTTTATCAATGCAACCTAAGGTGGTGTTCTCTCATCTTTTGCAGATGAACACACAACTTGAACAATAAATGAGTCTATGAACAAAAATATGCAAATCTTGTTCTTTGTTTCAGTATTTGGACATATCAACTTCTATTTCCTAAATTCTCTCTTCTAACTCAAGCTACTAATGATGCTAAGACAATTATCTAACTCTACCAGACTGCCTATTGCTCATCCAGCAGAAACCCCTACTTTTACTAGAATGTCATATTATTTATCTAATTTTTCATATATAATTTCTTTTTTCTTTTACAGTGTTTCTGTGTCTTAAGCAGTAGCCAGGTGTCTACAGATATAAGACAAGGAAGCTTTGTCTGAAAAAGTAATGTATTCTTCTAGACTATCTGATATAACTAAGAAGAACAGCTGAGCTTTTAGTCTTATAACACCTTCATCTATAACTTAAACTTTTGTTCTTTGCAGCAAGACTAAAATCTGCTGTTATTCTTTGGTAATCTAAAGAATATGTCCTTTTTTAACTCCTTCTTCATGTATCTATAAAGGCAGTTTCTCTAAACCTGGAAATTTGTGTACCCATTTTTCATTTCAGACATCAAGCCAATTCTCACATATCTACAATTTGTAGTACAATTGAAGACAACAGGCTTTCATTATTTGTCATATTTGCTTTTAAAGTAAGTCCAGCAGTTTACAAAATACAAAACCAAACATTAGAAATACCTACCCTAAATCAGAATGTGTAAGTCTTTATTAAAGGCCAGACTGTGATTATCCTTTCTGTAATTTCAAGGGAAAAAATAATGGAAGGATTTTATATTAGAATTTACTGGCAGCCAACTGCTGCTGTGGTCCTGAACACTTCCAGTGAAGATTAAGGTGTTAGCAGAGTCCTGAGTCACCTTCTCAGACCAGTAAGGAAGCTGGCCATGGAGAAGAGAATTAAGATTCCAGAAAAGGCCAGGGTACTTTAAAGCAAAAAACTTTTTGCAGCCCGTATTTCAGAGAGGTAATACATGCGGTATCACTTAGTGTGCGCAAACAACAGGACTACACTCACTGTCTACTGCTGCTTCTTTGTCAAATAATCTATGATTGGAGTCAGGGTCACCGTATGTCCCTGCCTATAAAGTGACTTGCAGCCACAATGGCTGGTATGATATACATCTGGTCTTCAAAATACTGCAAGGCTGTATTGTAAACATATTTTCAGTTATTAATGCTAATGACTTGATTTTAGTTTGGGCTAATTTGTCCATATTTTTCAGATTTTCTTTCCCTACTTCTTCTTTACTGAGGAGACATCCCTTCCAGGTGGAAGAAAGCTTTATATAAAAGTTGATAGCATTTATCCAGCCATAAAAATCTTGGGCATTTAAAAAAGAATATTTGCTAAAATTAGTGATTTCCCAACATTTTCTATTTAATTACAAGAAGGCAAAAGCTACGCATGAACTAAATATAAATAAATTTTTTAAAATTAAGTTCTACAATGCAAAAAATAGGAAAAAAAAAGAATTAATCCCCCAAACATGTAGCTGTGGAAAACAGGCTAGCCGCAGCATAATTTATTTTCATTCAGCCACCCTTATTTACACTATATCAAATTTTACCTCTGAGTCCTGAAAATTGCTCAAAGCAGCTAAATTTTCATTGTAGGTTCTCCTGGAGCATTTTTCAGGATCACCTCATCAGGTGTCCTACCAACATGAATTACACTAGTTCAAAGTACAATTCTAATACAAATTAATCACAGCATGTACTCAAATATTTATCAAAATGTTTCTCAACCTAGTAATTTCAGACTATAGAATTTTGAGATATGAAATAGATTAAATATTTTACCTTAGAAGCAGATTCCAGTCCTTTTGACTCTTGAAAGGCAGGATTTAATGTTGTTACTAAGTGGTGACCATTCATCTGCCAAGTGAATTTCATATAATGAGAGAGCCTTCTGCATTACAAATGTATGGAAAGTTCTATCTCAGAATTCAATTACAAGTATCAATACTTGCTATTCAGAGCAACAGCTCCAAAATAAAGCTCTTTAATTTCAGATTATAATTGAAAATGTAACCAAATTATTGTATATTCTGTTGCTTTTGACACCACTGACAAATACAGGAACTAATCCTGTACTTGCTACTCACATTATCACTAATGCAAGTAATCCCATTCAAATTAAGAACGTGTAAACAAAGATTATTCATGTAAGTAAAAATTACAAGATAGGGTGGATAAATCCCCTGAAATTGAATGACACAATCCATTTATTTAGTTTCTTTCTATAAGGTATGTGGTTTCACATGCCCAGTTGAAGCTAAAAGTACAAGTGAGAATACAAAAGCCTAAATAACAGATACTGCACAAAGTGCAGTCAGCAGTGCAGATACCAGCTGTTGAGCTTATGAAAAAAGCAGCTCCCAGGATCTTCCTGAATTCCTCAGTTCATATTCTCCCACATGCTCATAATCTAGGAGGCTCCTGACTCAAGCAGAGGGTCAACCTTATAAGCTACTACTTAAGCAGGTATAGCCTTCTGCCATGACAGTCCTAATAGAGGAAATGTGACAGAAACAAACACTGGCAGGATTATACTTAGAATTTTTTCCTCTATTTTCCTGCCTCAGTTTTAGATCTTCAGACCACCACTACTCAGTTACAGTACAGATGACTTAGCAAGAAATGGGATTCTAATCAAGATAACAACATCAAAGGAGCACTTGAGTAAGAAAAAGTTTTAAAAGTCATCACCATTCTCATTAAAAAGGGCTGAATAAAAATGTTACGGATAAAACCGGTTGGATTTAGACTACAGTTGTCCAAGCTGCCTGATACCTTCAAATATTAAAATCTTCTCATACACAGCTCCACAGCCAGTAATGGACCATTCTAACCACACTTCTGCCACCTAGCCAGGAATAAAATGAGCACATCTGAGCTGGTGAAAAGAGGATTACACTTCCCAGTGAGCTTTTCATGATTTCGAGTCACCCTGAGCCATCAGTTATGCTTCAATCTGCCTCTGTTGCAGCTGGACTTCTTGCCAGCCCTTACTAACAGTCCAGTGCTATGCAAAATTGTCAGTCCTTCAAATGGCAAGGTAAAGGCAATTAGTTTGTAAGGTTAAAAGCAGAGTTTTGTGGAGGGACATCCTATTTTTATACAATTTCTTTAATAAGCAAGCCATATCTAGATTGAGCATGTCTTCCGTGCAAGAGTAATAATCACATTTCACCAAAAATTGAATAAGTCTATTGTGTAAATGAAGGACTCCCTAAGCACACATTAACAGGAGAGACCATAGCAATCTATCATCTCAACGATCCCTGAACAACACGATCTGTAAGTAATTTTGATAGAACAGATTGTGACGGCTTCATAGGAATTACTTCAAGTTGCATAGGCAAAAATCTACAGAATAAAAGGAATTGGAATAGGATGTAGGTTGTTCTGTCAATTCACATATGATCAAGTATTGTAAGTGGCCTTGCTAAAATGAGTACTTTTTTCACTAGAATAAAAAGACATAGTGAAAGTACAGGAGTGCCTAAAGTCTCACATATGAGCTAACCATACTGAGAAAATCAAATTAAGATTTTGTTGCTAAGAGAAAATAGAAATAAATAAAAAAGATTTCTTTTAATCTTTCAGAAAAAGCAAAAATAAGCACTGTATTTCTTATCATATATAAAACCAGTATGCATATATGTATGTTAGCTTGACTGACCCCCCAGTCAGCTTACCAGTCCTGCAAGTTAACTGTGTCAGAATGGAAGTCTGGATCTATTTTTTACAAGGAGATGTTATTAATGCATGACAGAGTCTGGTATAGGCGGAAGTAAGTGTGCTGGTATTATTTGGGTTATAAATCTTTTACCCTCATCTCCTTCATTCATCTTTGTATATCATCTTATACAGCGATAGTCACAAGAAATTTGGCAAGTAGGGCAATGCTAGAAAAAAAAATTTGTTCCCCAAATTTCTTTGGGGAACAATTCTGGTTTTCTCCATTTTACGGAAGTCTCAAACAAGAGACATACAATTAAATACTTCAAATACAGGGAGAGCAGATAGCAAAATACGACCCTCTCCTCTCAACTTCTCTGCAGAAGAACTAAGTTGCTGTCTGCAAATGAGCAGAATTTATCCATCAGCCCATAGCTATGAATAGTCAGAAAAAAAATAATTTAGAATAGTTCAGAAATCCTTCTCCATTTTAGTTTAGCCTTCATGTCAACACTTCTTTTACTACTACTGACATTAGTGTATCTTGTCAATAGAGAGGTGTTTACATTTTGACAATTTTGCATGGATAAAAAGAAACAACAGAAAGTTATAAAAGACAAGCTGAAAGGAACAAATGTTAGCATGTCAATTCCCAAATGCCATTTTTTTTTTGCTTACAATGTGCTGCCTAGATTTTAGCACCTTGATATTAAATAAATACTTCATTTATGTTCCCTCTCCTTTGCTCGGGGACTACTCCGTGTGTAATGAACAAAGGCAATTCAGAGTGATATAGATCATTTCATCAGTACCTCATTGCACTTCACAAAAGCTAATAATGGACCTTTCTCTCCCTCCTGTAAAGTTCAGTGGGGGCAGAGGTGTCTCGGTTTTCAGCACTGTTGTGAGAGGTCGGAATATGTTTCACAACTGTAACACATTACAGGAGACTTAGCACATGAGAAGCCAAACCAGCAAATCCCAAAACACCTTGATAATGACTGATTTACCTAAATTGTAACACCTCTTTTCCACATTTTTCTGAAACTTTAATGTCTACCAGTGTTATTATTCAGTAACTTCAAACAACTTTTGTGAGTAAAGCACACTAAAAATGAAGAAAGGCATATAACTTAGAAAAATGTGATGAAAATAATAAAACAACACCCTACATTGCATATAACAGTTGCTTCTACAGAAAGAGCTCTATGGAAATGTTACAGCATTTGTATTTACTAACCTGTTGTAATCCACTGGGCTGTTTACTTTTCTGTGTTTGCCTTCCAACACCAATGAAACTCTTCTCTCATCACTGAATTTCTTCACTGAACACTTTTTCTCTCTGACTCCCAAGTGCTGTTTTCTCCAGTTGAGATGAGTAGCTGGTGTGAAAAGCTTTAGGGAACAGCAGAAGAGTTTGAGACATCAAAGGTTCTTCTATCCTCTTTCACAAATAAAATGTTTAATTTTGGCTACTTCAGCAGAAGTGTCTTCAGTCACTGTCAGCGTCTCCATTCATGTCTCTAACACTGGAAAATAAGTGTGTGTGCTAACAGCTGCAGATTGAGACAACCAAAAAATAACTACCCACTTAGTAAACAGTTTAGGCTGGCTACAACATTTTCACTTTAGTAAATGCTATTTGTAAAATAGCATTAATGGTGGCAACCTACTCCTTGTACCTTCTATCATATAAAAACTAGAGCACTCAGTCAGGAATTTGCAGGTATTTGAAGTCACACATCTATCCCCCATTTGCCTTCTTCAGAGAGTGCCTTTTCTGAGAACTTTTCCCCCCACTCTCTCTGAGATTTCAGGTGGGAAATTTCAAGAATTCATTTGTCATTTACTTCCTTTTTTTCCATTAAGATATCAAAACTCAGAGCTCACTTTTGTAATTCAAGAAGTCCCCAACACATTTACAAAATGTAAATCTTCTTGTAATAAATGCAAAAAGGTAAATGCTACAGAATGCAAACCTGATAATGTAGTGACTTTATCCTGATGAAGAGAGGATCATTTGGCACCAGGTAGCAAACTCAGTGCAGACACAAAAGTGAGACCACAGCACTTAGGGTCAGATTCAAGAATTTAAGTCTTCACTGAAACACCTTCACTGAAAATCCAACTGTATCTAATTTCAAGATGCAAGTTCTTCTGTTCTCTGCTTCAGGGCAATTAAATGCAATTCAGCTTTGATCCAAACCGCCCATATTGTCACAGCATATATAAGCTCAGGAAAAGGAAGGACTAAAACAGCTGTGAAGCTTTCGTGCTGAAGCATTCTGTCCAGCTCAGAAGAACCTGTGGCTGTTGACATCACTCTAGGCAGGGAGAGATAGCTTGACTCACATACTTATAGTTAAATGTTCTTCTTTCCTGGTAACTTTGAAATCTGTTTCACTGTACTAAAGCTATGTTTTTGAAAACAGACTGTAGCAACAATATGATAATGTGATAATTTTGAGTAATCAAATTTCAACTACTGCAAACAAGTTGTTTTCAAAAGTAGAGTCCTCCTCCCCAAAAACTGCTAATTACAGCCAAAACTTTCTGGCTTTCCTTGTCTCAACTGAATATACATATTGTTTTTCTGACAATTAATGCAGCACGGGCTACACTATGTTCCTAGTCCACTTCTTTTAAAAAAATGTAAGACATAAAATTGTATTTAACTGTGTATAGACATAAATATTACAGTGGTTACACCATTATATTTCAGAAATTTCATTAAACAGAAAATGCCAGTGTAGAAGCAAAGTCCCACTGGGTAAGAGCTGCCCCCTTTTCTAGGGTTCCAAGGAATTGTTGTCTTTTAAATACAAAACATGTTCTTAAAACTTCTTAATGTATACACTTCGCTGGACATTTTTGGTTCCTCTTTCAAGGTCTATTTTGAATGTTTCTGCATAAGCTCATTTCAATTTCTGAAAATACATATAATTATACCCGTAAGTTTGAAATCTTGCATTTCTCTATTTCCAAATAAGATTCCAGTTAATCATATAGCTGTGCAATATCAGCCTATGATAGTGATGATGCCCCTGAAAAAAAAAAAAAGAGTAACAATTGTTTTGCTCTACAATGCTTGATGTATAATAATCCGTGAATTAATACCCATTTTGTTCTAGAAGTGCATGAAATACAGAAAAACATATAAGTCTTGACAGACAAACTGACCAGAGATGCATGTGCATTACTATAATATTCAGGGCACATACTTAGTGGTATCACAGTGATCTGTAGTAGAGTAAGTCGAACAAATGAAACAAATTTCTAGAGCAGGAAAGGAGGCAGATGTAGCAGCTTTTGCGGTTTTGAGGAGGATGTCTTGTGTAAAAATATCCCATGGATTGGCATCAATCTGCAGGTATTTTTCTATCCTTCTGAAGATTTTTATATTTTTTTTTTCCTAATAAATTAAAAATGCCATACCAAAAAATAAGCCGAAAACCAAACTAACCAACCAAACAAAAAACCAAAACCACAAAAAAACCCAAAGAAGAAACCTTTTTAAGAAAACAAAACAAACCAACCAACCAACCAACCAAACAAAACCAAACCAGAATGAATACTTAATATCAGATGTTCTGATTTTTTTTTCATTTTGCTTTAGTTTTTTTCCAGACAAACATTTTTGCCAATGTCAAGCAGAAGTTAGGAAAGGTTTGAATTTCTCAAAGATTTTTTTTTTTAATGATAAGTACACAATGAACAGTAAAAAACATCATCCTACTCTTAGAGCTATCTTTTCCTCAACATCATGCAAGATGTAGTAAATATTTACATCCTCATGCTTCACTCTACTCCCCTGTATAATGATATGCTGCCATACCTATACTGTCTTTATCTAAAGTCTGATTCATTAATGATTGTAAGGAACACTGAGAAGCTCACTTAAAAGCATAATATCAGAAACAGCTTTTGCAAGGAGCATCATAAATGAAGTGTCATTATAATAAAATTCAAGTTTTCTATAAGAAAGGATACTATTACATCCATATGCATTTCTTACAGACTAGAAAGAATTATATTGAAAGGTTTTAACCAATAAAAATGTACTGCTATCCACATTTAAGTACAAAAGAGATCATTCAGTAATGATTCTATTATTAACATCACATATTTGTGAATGGGAAGCCAAGTACAAGAACAGGCTTAAGCTGATCCTTACCAGACACCAGGCACCTGAGGGTTAAAATCTGCACCCCTGCTTTGTTCCTGCTCTCCTATGCCAAGGTGCAACAAAGAGGCCTGGCTCCAGGTGATTCCATGTGCCATATGTGCTGCATTTCCTGCACACGCTAGGAGTTGGGAACAGTGTTTCCAGGTTTACAGCTAGTCTGATTTTTTTTGCTTTTTGTCAGTTTAAGCCTGCCCTCTCCTGTTGTTTACACATTTTATTTAATTTGTGCCTTTTATTTTTCCCCCAAATACCAAGGACAATTAAAAGCATATAACAGGCAGGCACAGCAGGGAAAATGGAAGTATTCCCTCAAAGATATACAGCCAAATTCAGCCCTTTGCAGAATCTGCTCACACAAGCATGAAATTTTCACAGATGTCTGGGTAGTGCAAGGGTAGCATGACTGACATGTTCTGCTGTCTTTGCTATCTGGAATATTTTCGTGGCTCTAGTGTGGGAGGGGTTTCTCTTTCAGAGCATTTCAAAACACAAATCCACATAGCCATTTCCGAAAGGGGAAGATATACACTAACAATGCTGACCCACATGCTGAGCTTTAGCCTCTCTGAGCGGTCCTACTGGCTTTGAAGGAGCCATTCATATGGAAAGGCATAGGCTTAGTTGTATGGCCAGATTTTAGGAGGTATGCCAGCTTTGCTGAGGCACCTCAAACTGATTACCAGGTTCTGAGTTCTACCATGGAGGGGCAACAATGAACACTGGAGGCAGAAACACTGTGGGTCATGCTGCAGCTGTGCTCTAGAGAGCTCCAACAGTGGTGATGCTGGCATGAAAGAAAAAGAACAGGGAAGCAAGACCATTCAGACAACAGTTTTGAGGCTATTATAGCTGCCATGCAGCACATCTCTACTAGAAGAACACTCTACAAGCCAAAGGTAGTTCCTCGTACATAGACTCTTCATGGAGCAAGCATACTCACCCAGGTTTACAGAGGCTGTAAGATGGCAATCACTGGCAGTAATTCTCTTTCTTCCTCTTGAAATTTGGAATGATCATGCTCTAAACACTGCCAGGAACGAGAGAACAATAAAATAAGTCCAATACTACAAACTAACCACTTTTCAAATTTATTTGGAAATTAAAAGTCTACAAAAGCAACTAGTATTAGTAAACATTTTGCATTTGTTACAAATACCGTGATCCATATTTCCCCCTCTCCAAATCTCTCTCTCTCTTCCATAAAAAAAAGACCAAAACATTTTAAAATAAATTACATACATAAGCCCATTTTCCTATTTTTAGCAACCAAGTTATGTGTTTACAAAATCAGGGCTCAGGTTCAACAGTGTTAATAGAAAAAACACTGCTTGCAAGAAAACCATATATTCAACATCATAATCCTATTTCCACTTTCTGGTCAGAAAGACTGTTTTCTGACCACATTCATGTAATTAAATAACAGTGAATCTCTTATTAAATACAAGGCCTGATTCTCATCTCACAAGAATTGATGACAAAGTTGCTAGCTGAAGTTTAAAAAAAAAAATCACAGTTTATTTATATCTAACATATATAAAATGCTAAGTTTGGGGCAGAAGGAGGGGCAGTGTGATTGTTGTTGTTATGTGTTCTTTTTTTCCCACAGGAAACAGATCAGGCAGCATACATCTGTTTCACAGTAAAACCAAGATATTAATATTATCCAGTAATTCAGCTGCTTCCCGGCCTTTGGGCAAACTTTGGTGAAGAGAGCAATACTTTTTCATACTTGTTAATTCTGCCAGTTTCCTCTTTAGGAATTTACATGAGAATATGTTCATTTTCATGCAAGTTAGAGTCTGGGGTTCTTTTTTCAAATAGCTTACCAGAGTAATAGATATCATCTGGTTGTAAAGCTACACTCTGCACTATGAGTTAGGTGCTGAGTGTCTGCTTAGTAAAGAAAATACAGTAAACCAAAATCATAATGGCACAAAATAAAATACAGATACAATTCCAGACAGTTACATTGAATGCTGATCACTGGGGAAAAAATTTAAATCTTTCAGACAGTGTATTAATAACTCACAGCAACACTGGAAAAACTGATAAACTTATAAATAAACTAAAAAATAATTGCTTTTTGTACTGAACACATTCACTCCCAAAAGAGAAGAAAGAGCTTTCTTGTTACAAAAAACTACAGGAGGGTAGAATATATACATTCTAGAATTCCAGATCAAACCCAGAAAATTAATATTTT